ACGCTGTTACTCTCTTTAAATATTGAGTGTACCTTGAAATAGCAAAAAAAAAAAAAGATTTTATATAAAACATATAACTATTCAAAAAAAAACTTTAGCAATAAAATGATTCAATTGATTTTTTTGCTTACAATTTCTGTGTTTATTGTTCATGCTCGTTTGGACAAGGAAACAATATTTCTACGAGAAGAAGCCCATCTTAAAAACGCAAGTAACTTTATAGAAAAAAGTACAGAAAGTTTACTTAAAATCTTTGGGCTAAGTTCCAGCACAGTTGTATTAGAAAACAAAGAACAACCGCATAAATTTATGGAATACATTTACAAAACGTACACTTCCATGTACGAGCGTGGATTACCGTTGTTGGCAGACACAGTACGTGGTTGTACAGACCTCGGTATGAACTAAAACTTTATTATATATCATGAGTTATTGAATAAAAAACTAATATATATATATATATATATATATATATATATATATATATATATATGTATGTATATATATATATATATATATATATATATATATATATATATATATATATATATATATATATATATATATATATATATATATATATATATATATATATATATATATATATATATATATGTATGTATATGTATATATATATATATATATATATATATATATATATATATATATATATATATATATATATATATATATATATATATATATATATATGTATATATATATATATATATATATATATATATATATATATATATATATATATATATATATATATATATATATATATAAATTAATTTTTTATGTTAAACTTAAATTTAGCCATTCTCCCTTTTGTTACAACTTACAATTTTTTTTAACTAATTTAACAGCTAACTTTTTCTTATTTTAATTATCTAAAGTTAAAATCAAAAATCAAACCCATCAAAATAGACCAAAAAAAAAAAAATGGAATCAAATTAGCTCGATTAAAAGAAAAAGGAGATTTTTTACTCAAAGATTTCTCTATACTTTTTAGAAAGTTCACTGCTTTTTATATTATCTTTAAATAGTATAAGTTCTATAAATAACATTAAAAAAAAATGGATTTAATAATTACTTGCGGAGATTAATGCAAACGTCACAACGTAGATAAGTAAAAAAAAAATTAAATATTATAAATTTTAAATGAATTAATAAATCAACAAGACTTTTAATGACATAAAAAAAAAAAAATTTAAATATAAATTTGTCAGGTGGATTTTATTTCCTGTTATTTATTCCCCTTCGGTTAGTCGTTTAATCTTGGCTAATTTTTTTTTCAAAAAAAAGAAATTTTTAAGTTTCATTTATACAAAATCACAAACATCCAATAACATTAAATTTACAAATTTTTTTCAACAGTAATTTTTGAACTTTTAATTAGGCTTAAATCAAAATAAAAAAATGAAACTAAATACAAAAAATTAGTTTTTTTCTGATTTAATACTTAAATAATTACTTTAATTACTTAAATTTCACAATGAGTTTAAATTTTTCGTTTTTTTTTTCTAAATGTGTAAATGTGAATGTTATGGTTTTTTTTAAGAAGTGTTAATGAAATTACTTTTTTGTTTTTAGGAGTAAATTCGCGTCGTTTTGCTAATTTTCCATATGTTGCTTATAAATTCGATATACCTAAAATACAACCAACTGAAACTTTGATTAAAGTTGAATTAAAGATTTTGGTCAGGTTCTCTGATTTCGAAATTGTTAACGTAAATCGAAATTTTTTAAAACTTTATTTATATGGAGTTCTGAAGGGCAATAAACAAAAAAGTCCGTTATTGATAGAGCTAGCCACTAAAGTTGTCCCAACTTCATACGATCGTGATTCTGTTTGGATTACATTTGAAGTAACATCTTTTTTACTCGCTCAAATTACTCAAGAGGCACAAAAAAAGCACGTAAAGTTTACACTGAGAATAAAGTCAATGCACGGTGGTACGACAATTCCTCCAACTATGGTTGGATTTCATAATGCAACACACCAGAAAAACGTAACAGAGAAAAGCATTTTAGTTTATTTCAGTTTAGATAGCGTTAACCAAGACACAAGAACTTCTGTCAACTTAAGAACAAAACGCGGTCTTGCTGATATTACAGAAAATGAACAAAAAAAAAATAAAAAAAATAAAAACCATAAAACATTGAACAATGATAACAAAAAATGTCGAAGGAAAAGTATGAAGGTAAACCTTTCAGAATTAAAATGGGACAAATGGTTTATGAATCCAATTAAATTTAATGCTTACTACTGTCATGGGAGCTGCGCACATCCGCTGACAGTTACTACTGATAACCATGCAACAATTCAAAGCATGATGCATAAATTAAATACAAAAATTGTCGGGCCACCTTGCTGTGTTCCAACAGAGTATGAAAAATTGCTAGTTTTATATATGCAAGAAAACAATCCAACAATTCGTTTGATTAACGGACTCATTGTTAAAGCATGTGGATGTAAATAATGTTGCTTAAAATCTAGACGTTACGATGACGTAACGAAGTTACAACAAAATAACTGTCCGTTGAAATGCTTTACCAAAAATAATATCGAGGCTTAATTGTACACATTTCAGTGGCCTAACGCGAAATACATTTCAAAGCTCAAACTTTAATTGTTTTCAAGATTAGAAAATGTGGAAGATATTTAACTTTTGAAAACTTAGATAACTGAGCTTCATTGAAATTTTAAATTTTGATAATCGAAAACTGTTAACAATAGTAAAAATTAATTAAAACAAAGCCTGTATATTTATATTTAATATTTGAGTAACTTATGACTTTTTTTGTTAAAGTTTTCTATTTCATTATTTATTTAAATAGAATTAAAATTTTTATTTATTAGAAAATTTTTTTTAAAACAAAGCTATTTTTTGTTGATCGTTACAAAGTAAAATCTATATATATTAAATGTTGTCCTTTATCATTTTTCTTTATATCGTTTTAAAAGTTTATAAACAACAAAATAACAATAACTGTTAGCTATTACAGTGTTCTCAAGTATCCGTTTGTTTTTTTTTTAAAAAAAAGTTCTTTTGAAAAATTTTTATGAGTTAAGTAGCGTAAATTTACTTTATTTGGCGTAGCGGTTGTTGCCGTTGTCAACTCGTTAATTTGTATCATTTGAGTTGTTATTACTTATGATTTTTTATTTGTTACCGGATTTGTTTATACATTGATTATGCAGCGTGTATTATTGCTTTGTTCTTGAATTTTATTCATTTGTGTTATTTCACATTAATATTGCATAAGTTATATAGAAACGATTAAAATATAATTAAATGTATAAAAAATTTTTTTTTAATCGTTTTTTTCTTGGTGCATGCCCGTAACTATAAATTGTAATAAGTTTTAATATTTTAAATATTTTAAATACTTTTATTTTTTATTATTATCTTTTTTTTTTGCAGATTATTAAAAGTCGTTTACCTGTCTTCATAATAAGAATCCCGCTAAAACTTATAAACCTGTTTTAATATAAGTAACGACATAGAGTTTCCAATGGACAGACTTGTGCGTCTCTTTATAACTATGGAAACGTATATGTAAAATTGTATACATGTAACTGTAGTCATATTTTATAAGTAAAGTTGGATGCGCCAAAAAAGATACGTCGTTGGACGCTTCATTTTCTTGAATCTGTTGCTAAATTTCTTATTGAAAGTTGAGAGTTAAGTACGATTGGTTATTTTACTGGCAAACCTATTTCCAAAAGAAGCTTAAACTCTTATAACAACAACCACAACAAAATTGATAACAAACAAAATGAACACAATCTTAGAAGAATTTCAAAATGCTTTGTTACAAGCTTAAAACTGTTGAACCAAAAAGCTTTAGAAGTGTGCATTTGTCTTTTTGGTGAGAGCATTGAAATTCCAACCCCAAGTTAGCCAAAAAGCGTTAAAAAATCAAGCAAATAAATAAACAAATAAATAAACAACAACAACTTAATAATTTATTAATATTTAATTAAAATAAAAAATTGAGTGAGCTTAAGAAAATTTTTTTCAAAAAGACGAGTTAGTTGAAATATAAGAAACATTACTGAAAAAGCTAAATTTTAAAATTACAAACACAGTACATGATTTACCAATATCTGATTGACTCAAAAAGAAAACCTATTGATATGTCAACAAAGTTTATAACCAATCCGAGACTAAGTAATGCTGTTTTGTTTAGGTTGCTTTACAAAATATTATTAGGTTGATGCACATTTATTGTACATTTTTAAGCGCCACTATTTAAAGATTCGGTTGACTTTTTGTCAAATCTTGTTTTATAATTTTATTCTCCATTATTTTATAATTTTATTCTCCATTATAAACATAGAAACCAGTCTTGAGTGTATTTTCAAGTTTTTTCCATTAATAAATACTTACTTCAAAAGTCGTTCAATAATTATACATCAACCTAATAGTTAGTATACACTACTAAGATAATAAATAAAATTAGGAAACAAACTAACAAAAAAAGACCTCAATTAAGAGTTGTAGAGAACTTAATTGGTTATCAAACGAAATTTGTAAATAAAAATTGATTGAAACTACTTTTGTCCATATTTAGGTAAATGTGATAAAAACCATTTAAAAACCTTGTTTAGTAAAAGTAGTCAAAAAAAGAGGTAAGCTATATTGATTGCTTAAATTATTTATTGTAACTTGTTAAAATGGTGATTCTATTATGCATCTAAAGTAAACTTTTTGTTTGTGTTTTTCACCAAAGACCTATGGACTGTCTCATATATCCTTATTTATTGGAATATTCATTATGAATATTATCATTATATTCAACCAAGGTCTACCGACTAATAATGGAATAAAGTTTTCGTAGGGAGTGATACACCTATACGACCTCTAAGGACGGTCCTGTATATATATACATAAGTATATATTAAGCATCCGTATTTAAATATGCCACAAATGGATAGAAACGGTTCTTAAAATTGACTCATTTTAAGTCATCTACTTTAAATAATTGACTAATCAGTCAAATTAATTAGCTAATTAAATTTAATTAACTTTTATAAAACCTCAAAAACGCAACTTGGCGAGAAAGTTTATTGTTTGTCTAATACAGTTTTTATTTATTTATTTTATTTAATTTTCTTTTCTTGCTTTTTTTTTTTTTAATTGCTTTTTGACAAATTTATTTTGGAATAGACGCAGTGATTGTTTATACATCGACTAATTTAACCATAGGCGTACCAGTATAAAAATACACAGAGCCTTTAAGAGAAATTTTGGACCCATGGATAATTGAAATTTTTTGATTCCTGGCCTTCTTTCTAGAACTTTAGTTTTACATTTTGAAATAAAAAATTTTTTAAAAATATCTCTTTATTAAAACTGTTCTTTATTAAAAAGTCAGCCAAGTTAGCCAATATTTAACAAGTCTATTTACAAACGAGCTGCAAAGATAAAAACTCACTTGGTGACCACGCTTTATCTAAAGAATGGTGGGATACACATGCAGAATATCAGATGGGCGCAGCTAAGATTAAAACAAATGAAATTAATTTGATCGTTCTTAACCTTAGAGATAAAAATGCTCAGACGTAAAAGAGCATTAAGAAGTATTAGAAGATTAAAACTTGTGAGATTCTTATGATTGTAGTTCGGAAAACGAGCGTAGTTAAGATTTGTTCTTCAATTGCACTAAATGTTAAAGATTACTCTAATCTAAAAGTGTTTTTGCAGCCAGCATCATTTGTTGGATTGTTTTATTTAAATTGTCATCGACAATGAAGTCCATTAATGAATTTAATTTCCAACAATCAAGAATTCAAAACTTTTGCTCTAGTGAAACTTAAATTTAGAAAATAGAAGGAGAGACAACATGGCACTTTTTTACCACTTCAATTGTTCAAAATTTAGCAAATAGAAGGAGAGACAACATGGCACTTTTTTACCACTTCAATTTTTCAAAATTTAGCAAATAGAAGGAGAGACAACATGGCACTTTTTTACCACTTCAATTGTTCAAAATTTAGCAAATAGAAGGAGAGACAACATGGCACTTTTTTACCACTTCAATTGTTCAAAATTTAGCAAATAGAAGGAGAGACAACATGGCACTTTTTTACCACTTCAATTGTTCAAAACATCAGCAAAGCATAATCGAACTCTGTTGCAATTCAGGCCTATCGCGTTTATTATGATGCTTGAATCCTGGATTAGGCTGCGTAAAATATTTTTATTCATTCCCTACTCATGGACCCTACCATACGACACCTATCGGGACAATAATAATTAATTGTTTAGATTTAATTTTTCAGTTTTTTAATTTATTTTTTTTCCCGTCAAAATTATTTTTTTTAGAAATATTTAATGTATTCAAGCTTACCATATTTAAACTATTATATTTAGTATATTTGTAAAATGAAAATAGTTTATCCCCCCGTCACCAATAAAATGAAAATAGTTTATCCCCCCGTCACCAATAAAATGAAAATAGTTTATCCCCCCGTCAACAATAAAAAATAATTTATCTCTTTATGTAACTTTATTAGGAAAATAGTTTATCCCCCCGTCACCAATAAAAAATAATTTATCTCTTTCTGTAACTTTATTAGGAAAACAAAAATGCATCGAGAACTAATAATTTGAAAAACGAACCTTTTTGTTGCACTTTCAACTTTGAAAACTTCCTCCATTGATAAAAGCATTTTTTTTGTGTTATTATGTTGGAAAAGTTGTGTTTTATCATGTTATATTTTAAATTTTGTTTTTTATATAAAGTTTAGGCGACTGCTTTGAACCAATTGTTTCTGAAATATTTTCACAAAACATTGTGTTTTCATTGCCTCGAAATCTTTCTAGCTCGTTGCTATTGGTTTAAATAGTCTAAAAAAATCTTCATTCAGATGCCAAATTAATGATTTTATACTTTTTTTTTTTATGGACAACAGTGTCTAAGCATCATCCTAGTGAGTGAAATACGTATTTAAAACGTTTAAAACGCATACTAATACGTATTATTACGTTTTTTAGAGATCTAAATAACGTTTTGAGTTTACTGAAATAACAGTTTCAGTTTGCGTAGACTAAATAGTATTAAGACTATGATCATAAAAAATATTTTCCGTAAAGCAAATTTTAAAAAATCTTTTAAAAAATGCCTAAAAAATTATTAGTGCTCATCAAACAATGAAATTATCTAGTAAAATACTAAGATTCAAAATTAATTAAATTTAGTAATTTCTTTTTACTTGTTTTTGGAATAGCTTGTTTAACAGAATATATGCAATAGTTAATAATATTTAATACAATTTTAAATGGCTTAACAGCATAACAAACTCTTTTGGCACATTTATTGCTTCTTCATAAGTAAAAAAACTTGATTTATTTTTAATAAACTATTTAACTAAAATACTCATTGCGTCAATATAATAATTTTTTTTTCAAAAAAAAGGATTACTTTCTCAACGCCACTAAAACCACAAATAATAATTTACAACAATTATATCAACGCTACGATACTTTTCTAAATTAATTAAACGTATAATGTGTAAATGAATTTCAAAAAAATTATTCAGCAAACCATTCTTTAACTTATGATAATAACTCATGTACCCAATTTAATGACTGTTTGACATTGGAAATTTTCATTTTCAACAAAAAAAAATTGGTAAACAAACCTTGATTTTATGAATTCTTATAAATGTAAGTTCAAAAGTGAGGAAAAAAAACTTGGTTACTGTCAAAGTTAATTCAAATAAATTTTTATTTTTGTACGTAATTGTAAATAAACGCAGGAAACTCAGACTTTTATGCCTTATCATCAAGAACCGCTGTAAAACAATTTTTTTACAATACCAAATTTTAGGTAGCAAAAGAAAAATTAAAAATGCACATAATGTAAAACAAATCGTATTAGGAATATAAAAATTCTAAAAATTTTGAAAAGATATTATGTATGATTGTTTTTATTTTTTAAATTTATATTTCTTAAACCACGTTTTATATGGAGCGTTACCATAAGCTTATTTTCTATGAAGGACTAGCACGGACTGTAACTTAGGTAACTTTGAGTAACTTTTATACTGAAGGTTCGTTTAAGATGCTGTTTATTTAGTAAATTCCACGACTGGTATAAAGCACTTGTTTATAAATTGTTGTTATGTAGGCAATATCTTTATTCCAGCTAATATTTTTTATCGATGTGTACGCATATTTTTTATATAATATTTTTTATCGATGTGTACTATTTGTTAAAAAAATCTCCACTTTTTTTAACAAATAGTTTTAAAATGAAATTTTATTTGTGTATTATACTCCGCGATTTTATATATATA